GAAAGACAGGGAAGAAAATGGAAAACTACCATTCGAATGAATTGAAGAATAGCCAATATGGCAAAGACTCAGCCGATGATCAGCTCAAGGGTGATCAAACGTCTAAAAAGTTACCTGTGAGTACAGTAATTAGAAGATGCCTATGTTAAGCCAAGCTAGTGGCAAGAAGCCCCCACAAAGTCCTATTGTTGAAAAAACAACATGTGCTGAAGGTTACAATTTGCCAAAGAGCGCATTGACATAAAGAGAAATGGCACATCATTTTGTGGACTGATGAAAGCAAAATTGTTCTTTTTGGGTCTAGGGGCTGCAGTCTGTAAGATGACCTCCACATTGAATTCAAGCCATAGTGCACAGTGAAGACAGTGAAGCATGGTGGCGCAAGCATCATAGGTTTCTCATACTATGGTGTTGGGCCTATTTATCGCATATTATGGATCAGTTTGAATGCATTAAAAATATTTGAAGAGGTCATGTGCCTTATGCTGAAGAGCAAATGCCCTTGAAATGGGTATTTCAACAAGACCAGGACCCTAAACATACCAGTAAGCGAGCAGCATCTCGGTTCCAGACCAACAAGATTAACAATAGAGTGGCCAGCCACAATCCCGGACCTTAATCCAATAGAAAACTTGTGGGGTGTCAAAAAATTCAGTTTCTAAGGTAAAACCAACAAATGCAGAGGAATTGTGGAAAGTAGTGCAATTGTCTGGGATGGAATACCTGGTTCACAGGTGCCAGAAGTCGGTCGACTCCATGCAACACAGGTGTAAAGCAGTTCTCAGAAACAGTGCTTATACAACTAAATATTAGTTCAGCGATTCACAGGAAAGCTAAATCTGCAAGCATTTTTCAGTTTATACAGTAAATGTGTGAGATTGTAAAGAAAAAAACACAGACACTGCTATTTTTTTTTTGAACAGTCGAATATTCCTTTCTGTAAAGTAACAACAAATTTGAAACATTTTTCTTCATGTTTTGATATGGAATAGACTCTGTAGTGTTCCCAATGCATTTGCGTGTATGGAAATAAAAGCTATTACAAAGATTTTGAGCTTTACTCACTTTTTTAAAAATACTGTTATTTTGAACACAACTGTAGAGAAATGCAAATTTGGTCCATTTGCAAAAGGGCTGAAGCCCACTGAAGTCACAAAAATTAATATTCTGTCAGACATTGTACAAACAACTTTCTTATTTGCAGAACTGCTGAAACCAGAAAAGTAGCATTAAGATTACAATGTCTAAATATGAAAACTAGACCTAGAGTGCCGAATGATCAGCACTCTGGAACAGCATGGTCAGACTCTACTTCACCTTCTGCAATACGTGTCTGCGTGAGGTTTGTCATTAGCGGTGTGACTCGTACTAAGCTATGCCGCCATGGCACACTAAACAATTGGTGTCCAAATTTATTTTTTCTTTTAATCTAGTGGAGTTAAATGCATGGTTTCGCATACACAATAAAAAAAACGCACATTATGAATTTAAAACTCACTAAAAACCCCCTAGAACCAGGGCTTGACAAATCCCAGGTCACACTGCCTTCCGTTGACCTCAATGAACGATTGTGTCCTATTGTCTGCAATGCAAAAACGCCTCCCATTCACTTCAACGCAAAAAACTCCTCTCAATAGCAATCCTATATGAACACTTATCTCCGCATGCCACTCAATTCTCTCACTTGAATGAGTCTGGAATGCACCACTACAAAACTTGCACAGGACCCTTTTCGTAAGGGTACTCAAAACACAACGCGTGTGACTTGCATCTGTCTGAACCACCTCAATAGGAACACATAATATCTAGTCTGTCATGTGAATCTGTGAGCTTGAAAACACATCCAGAACCGCATGTTTGAACCAGGGTGATCACATAACGCAGGTTCAGTTGCCATTATTTTCAATGGCACCTAAAACTTGGTGCTGTTTTGCCGAGCAGCAAATTGCATCACGTGAAGCTTGTCACCCAAAAGTTGCCTTGCCCTGGTTGCCAACAACCCATGCTATGAACAAAAATGCTATGAACAAAAAAAAAAAAAAAAAAAAAAAACACAATCCTGACTCCTTTTTTAGCTGGCTCCTAGATTCAAGCAATACATTTGTCAAGCCCTGCTTTAAACCACATATTTTATGAAAGCAGAGAACCTAATCAAATTGTGTATTCTGTACATTGTTTTGTTATGTTCAAAAAATCTTTCCCATTTCAAATGTGTTGGCTTAATATTGGAAGACAACAAATACATCTCCCCTGGGACTTCCGTGTAGCAACAAAGAAATATATATCAAGAAATGTATCAAAAAGGTCCAAAGTCAATAAAAATCTGATTTCTTTTATTTTCATTCCATCTAAAACAATTGTGTTGACTTAATAAATAAATCTCTCTGTACTGAAAAGATGAACTCCAACCTTAGCTACAGTGCGGCACAGTTGTACAGGCTCCTCTCTTGTACTGAAATTTCTTACCCTGATTTCACTGCATATCGTGATTTTTGAGTGAGCATTAGAAGCTGCAGCAAGTCAGCTAGAGCCTGCCTCGTTCCCTGGCTGGAGGACGTCCAGCATCATCTACCACTTTCCTTACTAAGCTTAAATTTTCCTGCCCTGTCCTTTACAATGGATTTCAGCTCTTTCAATCATGGAGGCTCAGTATTACAGGTGAGTGTTACCTAGGGGTGGTCTGAATACAAATGCTATCTGCTTAGAACTCGCATTCCTTCACCTTGACATCCCCCATCAAGGCATTATGATTTCTGCATAACTCAATCTACTACTCAGCCCACTGCTTGCATTAGGTTTAAGGGCTCTGGAGAGGAGTACAGAAGCTAAGCATTGTTATATTTTCAGGAAGCCACGGCTAGCACCCTGCTGACGTCTCCCACTAGCCAAGATCTGCCTCAACTGCAAAGAGACACACAAAGGTCTAACAAAAAAAAAAAGGTATGTAATATTTAGTGTTCATTTAAAAATCTCATTAGCATGTTGATGAAGGGGAAGAAAGGAACCAAAGAAGGCAAATATAAGTTGATTATACTTCAGCTTTAAAACTGCATGTGCTGTTGAAATGGTGAAAAGTGAAAAATAACCAGATGCATTAACTACTTGCCAACCGCAGATAGCCGAATGACGGCTACACTGCGGCCGGCCAGTTCTGGGAGGGCGTCGTATGACGTCCTCCCAGAACGCGCTCTCCTGCGCGCCCCCGGTGATCTCCGTGATCAGATGTGTCTGTAGGATGATGTGGTAAAAGGCCAAATCACAGCAGCCTTTTACCACATGATCAGCCATGTCCAATGACACGCTGATCACCAGGAAATGCAATTTCCAGTTCTCGGCTGCACTTTCCTCATGCTGTCAGAGCGTGAGGGAAAGTACTGCCGAGAACTGGCAGTTGTCAGAGCAGGGATCGGCACTGATGATCAGTGCCCTGATGATCGGTGCCCAGCAGTGCCACCCACCAGTTCCGCCCTCCTGTGCCCAGCAGTGCACCTTCCTGTGCCCAGCAGTGCCACCCACATGTGCTCAGCCACCTGTGCCCACCAGTGCCACCCACCTGTGCTGCCAGTCAGTGCCCAGCAGGTGCGCCAGTCAGTGCCCAGCAAGCCTCATTAGTGCTGCCTATCCTTGCCCATCAGTGCCGCCTATCAGTGCAGCCTATTAGTGCCCATCAATGCTGCCTCATCAACGCACATCAGTGAAGGAGAAAAATTACCTGTTTGAGAAAAAAAAAGTTTTTCTATTATAAAATTTTTCAAAATTTTTTTGTTTATAGCGCAAAAAGTAAAGTGCGCAGCGGTGATTAAATACCACCAAAAGAAAGCTCTATTTGTGAGAAAAAAAATGATAAAAATTTCATATGGGTACAATCTTGCATGACCGGGCAATTGTCAAAGTGCGACAGCGCTGAAAGCTGAAAGTTGGCCTGGTAAAGAAGGAGGTATAAGTGCCCGGTAGGCAAGTGGTTAAAACGAATACAGCTCATCCATTTGGATGAAAAACTATTCTTCTACCTCTGTTTAGGAATATCTTATATGTGCAGCTAAATTGGCTTTCATGAGTGTATACAAACCTTAACAGTCTCTGTGTATTATATTTTACAATTAAATTTCTTTACCAACTTATTTTTCTACATATATTTAACTTTTTTTATTGAACTTTGTTACTGTCAGCACTTTGCACATACACAAAAGTGATCAGATTTTTTAAGCCATATGATAAACTTTGGAGAATAAAAACGACTCATAGTTGTGAGTTGGTATTCAAACAGTGCTGTTTTAATGGTTACAGTGGTGGCAGTATAAGGCCCATGCACATGAGCCACTGTGGAGGAGTAACCTGGTAGGTATATAAAACTTAGGTAATGCAGCTAAATCCAGGAACATCAAAGTGTAAAACGTGTTAAAAACAGGCTAAAGAATCCCTGGAAGAAATTTCTATTCAATACGTAAAACGTAGCTAGTGATTGCACTAGCGCTACTGAATGTCTAGGTGTGCATTCAGACGCAGCAAGGATTTACATGTTTCCAGGTGCATTTAGAAATTAGCTCCAAAACACAACTGGAGGCCTGTATTTGAATTCCAGTGTGCAGGAGAGGCCTAATGATCAAACTATATGGAGCAATACCTTTTAAGTTTTAAATCTTCACAATAAAGCCCCTCTGAAGAAACCTCACATACACTATTTGCTCTTGTGACCTTCTTTCTGATCACTATCCAATGCTGTCAGTGACAAACACTTCGCAGTCAACAGTAAGCCTGGACTAGAAACTCTTTTCTCTAGCAGAATAATGTAAGCAAACATATGCAGAATTATGTGAATCTACTCACTATACTACAGAAACAAGTGTACTCTGTGACCTCAGCTAGGCATCATCACTCTAAATACAGTGCATAAAGCTGCCTCTGTAGTCCACGGCCTTTTGCTAATGCAACTTGTACCACAAAAAACAGAGCCCTCACTGAAATATATCCTAGTTAACGCAAAGCAGTTGAGCAGTTACCTTCATTGGCGTCTGGTTTGGAATTCTTGATATATGCTGAAAACTTAGCAAATATGTCCATGCCAGCAGTGTTGGATTCTGGGTGCTTAGCTGCTAACTTACGGTATCTAGAAAAAGAAAAAAAAAGTTTGCACATTTTACATAGGCTTATTGTTTGGCTTTTCTGAATTTGAAACATTGGCTGCTATGGAACAAACTATTTGCTACTACGTTTAGGAGAAAAAAAAACAGGTAAAAAAAAAATAAATGGATTTTATATTGCAAGTTTAAGTATTTCATACACAGGTCTTAACAGTACTAGAGAAATTAATTCACTTACTTGGGAGGGCATAGCACGTCTTCCAGAAACTCCTCTATCTTGTTTACATCAGTCTTCACTTCATGGTTGTAGGTTATAAAGGGAGGATGTGTCCCTGGGGCAAGGTTTTGGAGGTCCGCTGGTTTTCTGACAAAATCAAAAAATAGGTTACCTTTAACCACTTGCCCTCCTGAGGATTTACCCCCCCCCCCCATCCCCCTTCCTGACCAGGCCATTTTTTGCATGACGGTGCTGCGTTACTTTAACGGACAATTGCGCAGTCATGCAAAGCTGCACCCAAATTAAATTTACGTCTTTTTTTCCCCCCAAAAAAAATCCCAATACTTGTAAATTGGTTTACGTGAAAGTTACAGCATTTACAAATGGCAGTATATACACACTGGAATTTTTTTTTTAATTTTTACTAGTAATGCTGGCAATCAGTGACTTATAGCGGGACTGCGGCGGGCATTCTGACACTGGGAACTGACTTGGTGGCACTGACATCCCCAGTGCCACCAATACAGTGTGGGGAGAAAAAAAAGCACTGGCACTGTACTAATGGCACTGGGCAGGAAGGGGCGATCAAAGGGTTAACTGTGTGCAGGGTGTATTTTATTAGGGGGCGGTGTCTGTGCTCCACTGCAATCACACTGCTCTGGATGGCTGTGTTGTGTGTCGGTGCTGATTTTTAAATGCAATTTCTGGCTTTTTTTTCTCTTCACTATACCTCACAGAATTAGCTGTCACTTTCCCTGGAGCTAAAGGATACTTTGTTTCCGTTTAGTTTGTTTCCCGAGATAAAAGAAACTGTTTTTTTGCAACTTGGGGAAATAAACTAAAAGAAAAAACTATCTTTTAGCTGTGGGGAAGTGACAGCTGATTCTCTGAGCTTTAGCGAAGGAAAAAAAAAAACCCAGTTATTTACCTGTTAACAGTTTTTTCCAGGACAGCTTCACAAAAGGTAGGAAAAAAGTGTTTCCTGGGAGAAGCCCATCAGTAGCCTCTCTCCGTAGGGGACCCTCAGTACAGGAATATAACCGAAAATAAAGCATAAAAGATAACAGTAGGAACAAGGTTTGTCCAGTTCATTGAAAGACGGAATGCCAGCGTATATAGCTATCCAGTAATTGGAAGGGAGCTACGCTGTCCTGGAAGATTCCTGGAAATACAGTTAACAGGTAAATAACTGCATTTTCCTGGGTCATCTTCCAGGACAGCTTCACAATGAGAGAATTGAATAGGAATACGTACGTTAGGTCAGGGATGCCGCTTGCAGGACCAACCGGTAGTGCCTGGAGAAGGTGCTGAAGTTGGACCATGTTGCGGCCCTGCAGATCTGTCCGGGTAGGCACCAGCTATCTGCCCAGATAGCTGTGGTGGCCCTAGTCGAGTGCGCTTGCATGCCAGGTGATGGTGTTAGTGATGCGGTTTTGTACCCTTTTGAGATGGCTTCCCATATCCATCTTGCGATGGCGCCTTTAGAGGCGTTGTATCCTTTCCTTAGAATAAGACAGAGGCTGGATGAGCATCTGCATGCTTTAATGTGCTCTATGTATGCGATTAGGCATCTTCTTCCATCAATTTTGTTGTAGCCTCTTTCTTCAGCGTTGCTCAGGTTCCCACAGAAGGATGGTATTGCGATTTCATGTGATCTATGGAAGTGCGATGCGCCCTTTGGCAGGAATGCTGGGTCCATATGGAGGATAACCCTATCCAACAGGATTGTGTAGTAAGGCTCTATTACTGACAGAGCCTGCAGTTCGCTGACTCTGCGGGCAGAGACTAGGGCTATCAAAAAGGGTGGTCTTGAGGGTCAAATTGCCTGAGAGCATTCCCCCAAGGGTTTAAAGGGTTTCTGTTGGAAACTTTTTAAGACTGTGCCAAGATCCCAGAGGGGGTATTTTGGCATGCATGGGGCTCTGCATCTGGAGATGGCCCTCAGGAATTTGATCACCAGCGGATCCTCTGCTAGTTTCAGCTCTAGGAAGTTAAGACAGAGCAGCTACTTGCACTGAGTGTATTGGCGGTCAAGTTCTTGTCTGCCCCGGCTTGAAGAAATTCGAGTACTGTATTTAGGATAGGAGCTTCCGACAACTTATTCCTACAGAAGGAAACTTTTCTCCATATTTTGTCGTAAATGGCATTTGTAGACTTTTTCCACCCATCCAAGATGGTGGTGACTACTCACCTCTGGTAAAACCTTTATTGGCTAGCCTGCTCCGCTCAGAAGCCATGCTGTCAATGACAGCTTTTCCGGGTGTGGGTGTACCACTGCTAGTAGGTCATACGTGGGTGGTATTGTCCACATGTCCGTTAGGCTCAGTTTTTTCAGGAAAAAGAACCATGACCTTTTGGGCCAGAATGGAGTGATCAGGATGATTCTGGCCTGAGACGACTCTTCTGTACCACTCTTGGTAGTAGTCTGAATGGTGGAAAAGCGTAAAGGAGGTCCCCCTCCCATGGTTGGGCCAGTGCGTCTGTCCCCACACTCTGGGGGTCCCTTTGAAGGCAGAAGTATTTTCTTAGTTTTGTGTTCCTTCTGCTGGCGAAGAGGTCTATGGAGGGAGTGCCCCATCTGCTGGAGATTTGGGCAAACGCTGTGCGGCTGAGGCACCATTCTGACAGATTGATTTTCTCTCAGCTCAGCTGGCCCGCAAGCAAATTTAGGTCTCCTTTCAGGTGGAGCGCCGGGATGGATTTCAGGCTTCTTTCTGCCCAGCTCAGTCCCATTCATTTTGGGGACCTCGTGCCTCCTTGCCTGTTCGACAACATGACGGCCGTCGTATACTTGAACAGGATCTGAATCTCTTTTCCTTCTATTTTCTCCTGGAAGGTCGTAAGTGCTCTGAAAATTGCCAGTAATTCCCTGAAGTTTGATGATCTTTTAGCGGTTTCCGGGTCCCACTTGCCTTGGGTCTGACAAACAAACATTCAATGTGTGCGCCCCACCCCCCAAAAACCTTAGTCGGTGGTGATTTTTGTTGGGTTGGATTGTTTCCATTTGCTCCCGGCTTCCAGCGTGTGGACGTTTCCCCACCACTCCGCCTCACGCACAAAGTGAGAGAGTCACTGAATGCTAGAATCTAAAGATACTTGGCTGCCATCCTAGAGGGAGAGGACGCGATTCTGAATCGTTCTGGAGTGTAGTTGTGCCCATTGTAACCCCAGTATGGCTGCTGTCATGTGGCCGACGAGCTTCATGGAGTTTCTGATTGTGCAAGTTGCCGTCCCCCAGCTCCTTGAGTCTACTTGCAGTTTGTGTGCTTTTTCTGGAGTCAGATATAAGCAGGTGTTTGTGGAATCCAGAATATATCCCAAATATGTGATTCTGTTTGAAGGGACTAACAGCGAATGCTCCATATTTATTTGCCACCCTAGGTTTCCCAAGAAGTATATTGTATGCACCATGTGGCATTTCAGAGCTCTTTCCGTGTCCGCGAACAAGAGTAATTCATCCAGGTAGGGGATGATTTTATCCCTTCTAGCCTCAAGGCTTGCAGAGGTTCCGCTAGGATTTTTGTAAATATCCTTGGCACTGAAGATGGACCAAAAGGGAGTGCATTGAATTGGAACAAGATAGTTCTGTTCTTGCCCTTTAGCGCAAACCTTCGAAACTTGCTCGACTCCTCTCTTATCGGGATGTGAAGGTATGCGTTCTTCTGTATTTCCCAGGCGTCTTCCTTGAAATAAAATAGGAGTAGAATCCTCTTCCCATCTCTTCCTCCTTCAACTGACTGGCCACGTTCTGTTGGAGCATTTCTTCCAGGAGGTTCACAAGTGCTTCTGCCTTCCCCACCTCCCTTGTCAGTGGAGTCACGAAGAACCTATGAGGGGGGAGTTGTGAAAATTCTATCCTGTAGCCATTTTGAATTGTGTCTAAGATGAATACATTCTGGGTAGTCTGCAGCCATTACATGTGGAAGTGTCCCAGTCTTCCTCCCACCTGGCTCCGTCAGTCACTTGGACTGAGTTTTTGCCTTGTCCTGGTTGGGGTTGAAGAGGAAGCATCCCTTCTCCCTTCCTCTTTGAGCCCCAGCCCTTCCTCTGTCCCTGAAATCTGGCCTCCCTCGTTGCGTGCTGCCTGTTAGGACAAAAACATTTCCTTCCAGTTTGCCCGCTGGGAACTGGAAATCCCTTCCTTTTGTAGACTGACCTCTCTAGGATCGAAGTTATTTGGCCCAAAGAGGAGTTTTCCCTCAAAGGGCAGGCCACAGAGCCTGGATTTGGAGGAGACGTCCCCCTGCCAGGATTTTAACCAGATGGCTCTTCAGGCTGAGTTTATGAGCGCAGTCAATCTTGCTGTATATTTGATGGTTTCAGCCGATACGTCTGCGACAAAGGCCACTGCTTTTTCTAAGACGGGTAGTGATTTAAGGATTTCCTCGGCCGGCGTACCTTGTTCAAGGTGAGAACGGAGCTGCCCCAGCCATACATCTAGGGTTCTGGAAATACAGGTTGTTGTGATTGCCGGTTTAAAAGATAACTGCAGATGCTTCCCATGTTCTTTTGAGAAATGCATTTGCCTTGCGGTCCTTTGGGTCCTTTAAGGAACCTCCATCTTCGAAGGACAGATCTGTGGATTTCGAGAACTTCAAAAAAGGGGGGCATCAGGTTTCGGGCAGGATTCCCACATGGACGTATCTTCCTTCCTTAAAAACGGAAATCGCCTTTTAAAAGGTGTTTAGGAAATAAAGCTTTCCTTTCCGGCTCTTCTCCATTCCCTTTTTTATGGTAGACCATAGGGTGGAGTGGACCAGAAACGTGCGGCCACTTCTCTTTTGTAGTCCTGCACATAGCTGGTCATGCAGAGAGAGATCCGGTTGTTCCTCTTTTAAATCCAGAGTATTGTAGATTACCTTCAAGAGGCCTTCTGTATCTTCTACTGGAAAAAGGAACATTTGCAATCTGTGATCCTGGTCTTCCATCTCACCTTCCTCTGAATCGGAACTGCCAGAAGGTTCCTCTACTCGAACCGCGACGGCGCCCGGGTCCGGTTTCCTTTTCTTATCAGTCAGGGAAATGTCTGAAATGCAGGGTTGAGGCTCATCCGGGGCTGGTTCCTGCATCTGTTTCCTAAAGTTTTAGACCTCTCCTGCGTCATATTTTGTAGAAAATCTTTGAAGAGGAATCCCAACTCGATCAGT